AAAAAAAACAATCGCACACGCGATAAGAAATTCGAATCAATAAAAGGCCAAGATCGAACCTTTTTGTGGGCCCTAGTGAAGAACAGGTCTCCTCTCCTCCTGCTCTTGCCGGCGTATGCTCTCTCTCAACCTCCGATGATAAGGGACCTCTGTTTTTTTCCTCCTTCGTGCGAGTGTGTGTGTGGTGTGCCGCCCCTCGCGTTTGAAGAACACCGAGAATGAAGCTCAGCCTCACACGAAATTCGGCTTAAATTAGCCTCAAAGTCACAATCCCCGAAGATCGCAGCCGTTGATTTTGTCATGATTGGCATCTGTGGTTGTGTGGGCCCCCATTACAGCTTCACACTCATGCCACTTTAGCTGGCTTGGCTCGCTCATTTGTGAGGACACATTTGCCCCTTGCTTTAGCCATTTCCTTGTTTGTCTTGGAAGAATCTTTTGAGGTCAGTTTGGACATGTTATGCGTATCTCATTTTTCCTAACAAAGGTAAAAATGCATTTCTTTCTTTTAATTTAATCGAATAGCCAAATTCGAGTCCGTGACACTCGAGCACGATTAAGCCTTTTATTGTTAATTAATTAATCATGTAAACAATTTTAGAAATAAGATAATAGTAATAATTTAAGAAATTACGTAGTAACTCGTACTACTAAAACTAGCAATTTAAACTCAACTTGTTAATATAACAAGTTCGTGCTCAGACTCTTTTTATCAAACTAGTTGAATTTCAAATTTACGTATAATGTAGGAACGCAAATTTGAAATTCATACACCAAAGGTTTTGAATTTCAAATTTACGTATAATGTAGGAACGCAAATTTGAAATTCATACACCAAAGGTTTAGAGGGTTGGTGGTGGATTAGGATTAGCAATGATGTACACCTATCATGTGGGCTGATTCAAATTTGAGCTCACTTTTATTCCAAACAGTTCAGACATAACGTGCCCATCAAATTTGTTCAATTTCATATATTTGGGTTTTCCTACATTGCATCATTTTATTTTTAAGTTCCAATATTGAACTATAATACATATACAAATTGTGAATCATAAAAACTCTTGATCATTGTGTTTACTACTACTAAGCCCTCTTGATTAAAATTGTATGAAAAATAAATTAGTTATAAATTATAGAAAGAAATGTTAAATCTATGGTGTCATAAAAAGAGATATTCTCCTCTTCATCTATAACGTGTTCTGATATCAATCTATTTCTTAAGTAAAAAAAAAAAAAGAAATAAAATGAAAGTACTTATAAACTAACTTGCTTTGATGTAAAGCAGCGTCAAATTAAGAGGAGGATATGAGTTGTCCTTGTCTCATACATTACATAGTATGCATTCATTCATGGCTTTATCTCAATCGTGTGTCTTGTCTTGTAAGAGCACGTTTGTTAGGCTAGACGAGATTGGCCAATTTTTATCTTGTAGTCCAAGATTGTACTGTTGAGATTCTGTGCAACCCATGTTTGTTAAGAAAGATTGATCCAATATAGGATTTTGTTAATTTTTGTATTCCACATTTGTTTTCCAAGATAAAATATAAGATCAAAGTTGTGAATTACCAATCTACCCTAATTTTATACATTATATTAATATCACCACTAGTTCCACCACACATCACTTTTTTACAGTTCATGTCTTCTTCTTTTTTTTTTCCAAAACGATCAAACAAATTTCATTACAACAAAAGCAATTTACAGAGATTAATCCATTCAATTGGGTTTACAAAATAACATGAAAAGAACAACAGGGCCCTACAAAGTTGAAACCCCACAATAAAAACTACCCAGCCGATTTATACAACTCAATAACTAAAGAAAAGCTACAAAATAAATAACACCTAACTAAGCAAACCACAACCAAAATAAACTAGAACCAAACAAAACAC